TGCTATGCACCCGGGTTTTGTCCAGCAGTCTCTCTCTTTTCTCTCTTCTCTCTCTCTCTCTCTCTCTCTCTCTCTCAGCCATTTGCCTTCCTGTTGCTAATTTTGCCTTTTTTGCCTTTTTTCCGTTCAAATCCCCCATTTTTCAGACCATGGACTTCTCCGCGTTTCCCCTTATTATCCAGCACCAAATCCTCCGCAACATGGACATTACCGACTTCTTCAAGGCGGCCATCACGAGCAAGAAGATGTGGCAAGTGGCCAAGGACTGTCGTGACAAGCGATGGGATGTCAACCTCTGCTATCGCCGCGCACGTACATTTTATACTTTATCTCGCGACCCGTACCGGGGAGACCAATTCCACCTCGATAATCTGGACACGTTCAGGTGTCTCTTTCATAATGCTACCCTTAAGCAACTCACTCTTTTGTGCGACATCCCCGTGGACATCGATGTCCGGTGCGATAAGTTGCACGTTGAGTGCGACAGCATCACGCGAGCTCTTCTAACCCGCTTTAAACCGACCGGAAAGTACGAGAAGGTGTCGTTTTTCAATTCTGCAGATCCAAGCCTGCCTGCCTTGGTGGACTGGCTGAATGAATCGGTGAATTTCGTGCAAATTTGGGTACCTCTCGATCGACCGGAATATCTACGGCTCAAGGTGCCAAATATCTCGATAAGTGTGGACCGCTTCCGCGGTGTATCTGCTCCAGCATACGCGCAGGTTCGTTTTTAGGTTTAGATTTTGGAATGTAAACATAGGTAGGGGTTTATAACGTTAAAATTTCGTCCTCACGGAATTCAGGATGTCGACATTTTATAATAGCGTAAGTCCTATTATCGAAAATCAAGATTAGCATAGTTTGATAATATCGAAATTCGGAATGTCGGCACTGATAACATCAAAATTTCGAACATAGAACTTCAGACGACATTCATAATGTCGAAATTGCAAAATGTCGAAGTTTATAACATTGAAAATCAGGATCAGCATAATTCATTCAAAGTTCATGATGTCGATATTTATAACATTCAAGTTCAAAATGCCGAAATTTCATAACATCGAAATTGAGACGGCATTCATAGTGCCGAAGTTCACAATGGCAAATTGATAATGTGGAAATTCAGCGTATCGAAACGGCAAAATCTCGTAATGTCAACATACAACATAGCAAGTTTGGTCCGATATTTTGGTTTTTTTGGTACTATTAATTGATTATGGCAGAAATTCGACATTTTGAAATCGGGGATTGGGCACTTTCGGCACTATGAGTTTCGAATAGTTTCCAAGTTTTCCACAGTGGATGATGACAGTCCGATAAAAAAATGCATTCAGATGATTGTGGAAGAATGGCTACGAGGCGAGCGCCCAGTCCATCGGATTGGCGTTGATTCTCGAAAAGCTCAGGCTGCAGGTGCCCAACTTGCATTTTTCCAACAATATCCGACACTCGACGTGCCGAGGATAAAGCGGAGCTTCTACCGGATCAAGCGCAATGATGGACAAGTTCTCATCTTATCGCGGAATGGCTTCCACTGGGAGCGAATCGAAATCACAACACCTGATCTGACACACCTCGAAAGTGATGTCAATGGAATAATTAGAAAATTTATTCAAGCAGGTCAATGAATAAAGGGTTTTTGCCTGGAAAGCCGATGCTGACTAAATTTAAGAACAAAAATAACCAAAAATTGCGCTAGTCTACATTTCTCTCTATCTTTCTTTCTGTCTCTATCTCTCTCACTCTCTCACCATCTCTCTCTTTCTCTCTCTCTCTAACTTTTTCTCCACCTCCTCCTCTCTCTCTCACGCTCTCTCGCTCCCAATATCTCTCTCGCTCTCTCTCGTTCTCTCTATCTCCCTCTCTCTCTTTCTCTCTCTAACTTTCTCTCTGCCTCTCTCTCTCTACCCCTCTCGCTGTCACCCTCTCACGCGCTCGGTATATCTCTCGCTCTCTCTCTCTCTCTCTCTCTCTCTCTCTCTCTCTCTTTCGGATTCTTGCTTATTTGATCTATGCCTTGAATGTGGTGTGGAACATTAATCCCGAAAGATTTCTCTGAAACCCCGGCAACAGAATGGCGCGGGAGAACACTTTGCACCTGCCGCATGCAGGTAAGAAGTTTCCGCTACACCGGAGCTTCACATCTTTCGCATCACCTTTCCTACTCACGCGCTATGAACACCTACGAGGAGCCCTACATTTTCAAGGTGTATTCCACTGGAATGCTCATCATTGGGGTACCTATTAACTTCACCTTATTGACGCTGATCATCACCCAATCGGCGGAGAAGGCGAATGTTTACAGGTGGCATTTGGCGTGGTATCAGGTAGGGCTTTTTTAGGACGTAAGAGTGAGAGAGAGCGAGAAAGTGAAAATGAGCCTGTGAAAGAGGGAAAACGAGAGAGAGAGAGAGAGTGAGAGGGAGAGAGAGCGAGAGAGAGGTAATTTGCCATAAATTCCTGTCCATTTTCTTAACGACCGATCGCCGCTGCCTAATTTGCCGCGACCGCAACACGCAACGCGCACCCTGTCCAGCCTAGCTGGCGAGACCTAACAACGGAACCGCCGATCTCAACGCTTCCCAGTCCCTTTAAAAAGCCAGCCTTTAATTGTCCTTTCTTTTTCTAGGTGTGGGCCATCGTCATGGAGCTGCTATTCCAGACGGCGCTGCCTGAATATTTCGTCCCTACATTGGCTGGCCGAGTCCATGGGTTTTTATATCGCATACTCTCAGCTAAAGCTATATTTGTTAGTTTACGGGATTTAAAAGCAAGTCATAACCCAAATCTAGGCTCTTGGTGGTGTCGCCGTAATTTCGATGCTGCTAGCCACCGTTCAATGCTTTTTATATCGGCATTGGCTACTTCTGGATGCAAACCATCGATTGAAGTAAATAAATTTGTAATGCATTTCATGTATTTGATTTAAGGTTCTCTTCAAGGACGACGTTTTGGATAGCAGCGACTCACTATATTTTGCTGAACGCTTCGATATTGTGCGGTATTTGCACACTACCGCTTGATTGTTATCCGGGATCACCGTTATTGAGGAATATTGTTACGGTATGCTTATGGTCTTTATGTCGCTTCTTTCTTGCTTTCTCTATCTTTCTCTCTTTCTCTCGCTCTCTCTCCCGCGCTCTCTCTCCCACTCTCCCACCCTATCTCGTGCGCTCTCTTTCTCATTCTCTTTCTATCGTATTCGCTTCCCTGCTTGCTCTTTTTCTCTCTTTCTCTCTCTCCCTCTCCCTCTTTTCTACTCCACTTTTCAGTTGTCCCCAAACTTCACCTTCCTCCTCGAACTTCCGGACGTTTGCGCATCCGGCATCACCCCGATATGGCCGCCCTATATTGGATTTTCGGGAATTGTCTTGATCTTGGCAGTCATTGCATGTTTCATCGGATACCTAGCGCCTATGGTAATTTTTTGGAAGCTATAGACTTTTTACCTTTTAGTCAATAATCGGGACCTGGCATGCTCTAACCATCCTTGGAAATAGTAACAACTACATGAGCGAGAAGACGCGGATGATGCATCGGCGATACTTTCGAGTGTTATTTGTTGGGGTAAGACTGGGTTATAATTAAAGGTATGGGGAAAGCCATGCCTATGCGTGTGGGCCGAAAGTTCTGTTTAAAGTATACTTTCAATACTTTAGATGTCAATCCCGGTGCTATCACTCGGTTGTCCTTACATGGTCCTTGAATATACCATGTACTTTAACGTTTTGCTACCTCAAGGTTGGGCTTTTCTTGGATCAGTTTTACCTTTAAAGCAAGCTCTCATCAATTTTCTTGTCGGCTTCCACTCGATTCATACCACGATGGCCTCCATTGCCATTTTCTCGTTAACCCCATCATATAGGAATTACGTTTTGGGATTCTTCCGGCCAAGAAGGTAGATTAATTTTGGAGATCTGAAGAATTCGCGCATTTAGACGTTATCTCTCACCCCATATCACAAAGGTCAAGCCCGATGGGAGGTCCACTATAAGGAGAATGGAGCTGGAGTGACATTTGATAAAGCATGTCGAGACTTTTGATATTCAAGGGGAATCTACCCTGATTGTTGATTGGGCCTTGACAGAAATGCGCGGGCGCTGTTGCATGCAATCCAAACTTTCGCTCTCTAGCTCGCTCCCTCTCTTTCTCTCTCTCTTTCTCTCTCTCTCACACTCTCTATTTCTCTCCCCCACAACACAACTTCCCGATCTGGCGCCCCCGCCAGCGTACCCCCGGAAGTAGTAGATTAGAACTGATCCAAAATATACATGACACAGTATGCTCGACATCGACACCGCTTTTTTAGTAAACTTGTACCTAGAAAGTAAACAAATCGAAATCCGAGATTTTAAAAATTGCGATGACGATCCCGGCCGCCTCCCTCGGTGCTCCCTATATAACGTTAGAATATATCCTGTATTTTGACGTGATTTTCCCTCAAGGTGATTAGCATAAAAAAAATTATAGTTTTTAAGGTGTTATAAATTTCTTTATGGGCTTCCACGCGGCTCACACGACACTCGCAACTGTTGATATTTTTTTTACTAACTCCCTCGTATCGAAATTTTATTTTTGCATTTTTTAATGGCAGAAGGTATGAAAGTTTTTTATAACAATGTCGAATTTAGGCGCTATATTTCACCGTCGTTGACGCGCGTTTGGCCGGAGATAAAATCTATTTTTCGGCCAGAAATTATGTATTATTAACTTAAAAATTCAAAGAATTGTTGATTTTTATTGTTTTTACCCATAGAATTTTTGAACGTTTTTGTAAAGTTTAAATAGTTTGTTAGTAAAAATTTTACAATTAAGTCATCTTCTAGTCACAATTTTCAGACCAAAATCATATTTTCATTCTGACGACGAAACTGTCCAAGAAATGAAGTCACCCTTTCACCTGTAACGCCGAAAAAACAGAGCAGGATATGTCTTTTACAACTTTTTACAAGCCTTTATTACCTTGGCAGATAAAAGTAAAAAAAAGAAAAAAGCTTTTAAAAAACCTCTAATTTCAACAATTCCTCAACGGTTTGACGACGTCGGATCAGGCGTGGCGCATCGTTTTCGACGAGTACTTCCGCAGCTAGGGGTCTTGTGTTGTAATTTGACGACATCGAGGCACCGTAGGCACCGGTGGTGTGCACTATCAAGAGATCGCCAACCTGAAGAATTCTCCAATTCATTATTCATTTTTGGATCTGTGCTCGGGTGCCTAGCTCGTTATAAAAATAGCTGACACCTGAAACGACACAAGCACCATTCCATTCCGCTGCCAAAAACACTTGTCATCTCATAAAAAATAGCAGAGACGATGCGGTGCAAAAAAAGCAGAAGTGATAGTCAAAACCATAGAGTCCATTGCTCTGTCATACATAATTTTCTGTTAAGTATTTATCAAACGATTAATGATTTTTATTTCCCCAATGAAATCAGCTGGAGATTGCGATTTTAAACGACCAGCTTAAAAACCGGGGGAGAAAATTAATCCTGCCGTCTACAGTAGCTCATTTTAATAGAGCACGAAAAATAGCCTACATTTTCTTTTTTAAATAATTTTTTGAGTCGAGTTTTGTCGACGAAAATTCGAATTTCGGGTCCGTTGGCAATACCCTTCGCCAATGGGGGCCTTGCCCTGCCACCTCTCTTGAGCCCCTCCCCGCGGCTCCTCTCCCGTGTCCTCGGTAGTATAGTGGTGAGTATCCGCGTCTGTCACATGCGAGACCCGGGTTCAATTCCCGGCCGGGGAGAAACTTTTTGCTTTTTGGCACATTGACGTTTTTGCGTTTACCTTTGCTTCTGGAAGGCTTCTCGTCGTCACCACTCCGCCCTCTTCCTGCGTATAGACATCCCCGGACTCACATAACGGGCCGGCGATGGCGTACTGAAATTCGAGGTAGTATAAATTTGTGCAGAAGCTATTTTACCTCAATCATTTCTCCATTCTGATCCGCATTCAGAATCGAGATTTCGTGGTAGCTTCCGTATAGCGCTGGGCGCATCAGATCACTGAAGCCGGCGTCAATTAACAGGAAATCATAGCTGCCCGGACGTCTTTGAATTGCCTAAATGCCGGATTAGTTTTTTTTAAAGGGGCAGGCAAGGCTTACCATAGATTCTATTTACTATGAATTTACCATGACATTTGCCCTACCTGTCCCTTTAATTAAATAAACAAAAAGCTTCTTACCTGAACCCTCGCAATCAGCATTCCCGATTCAGCCATCAAAAATCGACCAGGTTCAATTTCCAGGCGAATTTTCCTGTTCAGAATTCCTTCAATGTGCTTTCTGGCCTCATCCCAGATAGAGAAATAGTTATCAACATTGATGGTGGCATCTCCGGCTTTATACGGAACCGTCAGCCCCCCTCCAGCCGAAATGGCCTCCAAATCAGCGAGTTGGGCAAGGTCGGCGGACTTTATCAGCTCGGTCATTGCGTTGCAGACCTAAAAAGACACTTAAAGGGCACGTTCAGGGACGTTTTTTGGAAAAAAGCAAAGAGCTTTGCCGCGGCCGGGGGTCGAACCCGGGCCCCCCGCTCGGGAGGCGCGGATGGGTACCAGTCAGCCACAGCTACAACCTGGCGAGGGGCCGAGGGGTGCCTCACCCCGCAAAGGAGGGGGAATGGCCTGTCACAGCACGGGCAGTCAGTGCGCGCGGTCCCTACGTCCATAGGGTGTACACGTTGGGACGAGTACACGGCCCCTCCCTGAACGTGCGCTTTAAAGGTTAGGTAAACGCTAGAATCGACTCCTCCTTAAACTACAGGGTGTCTCAGGATTATCCGGACAAACTTTCAATGCCATTTCTTCCTATTTTTATCCTATTTTATGCGCACACCGTGTAGCTCCTATCAATCTTGGAGGTAGTTTTGAGGCGCTGGCAAAGAAAATTGCCCGAGGTTCCAACATATAGTTTCGCAAAAAAATCGAAGAAGTTTGAACCTAATTTCTCCCATCTGGCAAACGCTCAAAACGCATGCTGTTTCCGACGCTATAAAAAGCTTCAGTATAACCGGAATAACGAAGAAACCACAGGAAGAGGTCGGTAATGATAAGTCCATGCTACGCACGGCCCAAAAATGCTAAGTTGACCCTAGGAAAAAATCAGCAAGCAAAAAAGATGAATTAATGGCACGCGCCGCCGTATTTACCCGGACAGATTTGGCCCGGAGGAACCCTAAAAAACCCGATAGGTTACTTTTCAAATAATACAAAGATAAATATCTACAGTAGCAAGATGTACAAGCAATTTAGAGAAAGTTAACTTTAATTTGTGAGGAGCTTGAGCACGAGCAACCTTCGAAAAACCCTTATCAGCAATGCAAAGGAAATCGATATTAAATTCGAAAATAATCATTGACACGATCAAACCTTTGCGCAAACAGGTCCGTTTTGCCAGAAAACATCATCTCTTGCCTAAAAAAATGTCGGAACACTTTTTGAATCTTTGCTCCAAGTTTGGCGGTATTGAAGAGGTGCAAAATATTACTGCGTTCTTGGCTTGATTCTGAAGCCATTAATGCGCCTTCAAATAATTTTTTTTTGCTCAGGACATTGAAAACGCCTCAAAAACTCATATGAAATACCTTAGGTTGGCAGAAAACAGCGGTAAATTCGAAAAATTGACTTTTTCGTTTTGTCCGGATAATCCTGAGACACCCTGTAGGTCTCGACAACTCGAAGTTGAGCCGTAAAGCGTAGTTCCATACTTATATATTATTGGATGTTGGATACGCATAACACGTAGCTGTCGAGACCTAGTCGAAGCAAAGGTATATTCTCGCACTTTACCGCCCCTTTAAATAGACTATAAGTCCAGATTTTACCAATTGTCGACTTCCTCACCTCTTTCAAGTGCGAATAGTCGACCCCAGAGCCGATGTGCATATGGATTCCAACGAGTTTTAGCCCGAATTCCGCGGCGATATTCAGAACTTCCGGAAAATCCGTGACCCAAATGCCGTGCTTGCTCTGCGGGCCGCCAGTGTTGGTTTTTTGGCTGTGTCCATGGCCAAAACCGTAAAAACTGATCATAATTCTTAGCGTAGAACTTAATTTATAACTAACGCAACAATTACAATGAATACAAAAATTAATTCGCGTTTTTAAATGTTTTTTTCCGATGCCTACTTACCCGGATTAATGCGAACCCAGACGCGATTTCCGGGTGAATTCTGCCCGATTCGGCGCAGCATGTCAAGAGAACCTAAAGATTTAAGGTATACAAATGGTGACAAAATAGTGTACCCGCATTAATGGTAGCTTCATGGTCCTTCAAAAATTTCAAGGTATCCAAATCTACGAGATCTGCCGTGTAGACGACTTCTTCAGCTTGGCCGGGCTTTGCTAAAATGTGATATTCTAAGGCTTGAAAATTTTCATTTCACGGGCTTACAAATTTGGCTTGGACTCAGCTTCATTTCAGGCTTGGCTTAGGCTTAGCTTAGGCTTATCGGCTTAAACGTCGACTTAAAAAAAGCATGCTTACTTTTTGGCTCGTAGCCAACCTTGAGCGACCTCTTAAATTCCCCAAACGACACGGCATCCACAAAGACTCCAGCATTCTTCATCAACTTCAAAATGTTCAAGTTTGATGAGGCTTTCTGCGCGAATCTGATGACGTCAAACCGCTTCAGCTGCGCAATCTTTTCCCGGATTTTCTCGGCTGAATAAATCCAAGTGGGTGTGCCATGGTTTTCAGCGATTTCTTCCAATAGTTTAGGGTTAAATTCGTGGGCCATCGCGCTGAGAATACGAGACAAATCCGTCAAAAAGGTGAATGTTCCTTATCAAACCCGGGGAAACACATAAATGCCCAGGTTCGGAATGGCAGGCGGCCGGCTTTGATGCGTGAGTATTTGGTTTTGGGGCTAAAAATCGGGATAAAAGATTATCAGAGTATCGTAGGTAAACTTTAAAACGCATTAATGACTATTAAGGGTAGAAAAATTTCTACAGACAACCAAAGCGTTATTGTCGGCATTAATGAATCAAAAATCAGGAAAACATTCGGCGCAAACCTGGATTTTTTATAAAAAAACCGGTGTGTTTTTCCATTATTATTTAGCTATCATTGAGCCCAATAACTTTACAAATTTTTACTAAAAAAATGATTATTTAAGGTAAAATAATTCTATTTTTTCCGAGCAAAATTGAGCAAATTTCGAAATTTTCAAACTCTTTGCTAACTTTTTTGAAAGGTTTTGGACTTCAAACGTAACTTAAAATTGACTAAAAACAATTACTAAAAACAATAATTTCATCTTTAATTTATCTTCATTTTCCAGAATACGAGACCGTCGCTTTTGAAAAATTATGGAATTCATGTGGAAATACTTAAATTTCGGCATACGATTTCCAGGACTATACTCTTTCCACATAGAACGATACTCGTTCAGTAGTGATCATGTGATAAGAAACCGTGGCCGACTCGATATTCGACGCGACAAAAAAGGCGGGGCCGGCATTGGGGGTGGATCCAGGGTGGGTTTGATTGATGACACCATCAATTTCCCCCTTATAAAGCGGGTTCGGTCGAACCCGCGCACTCTCCACCCCCATTTTCATTCTCACGTGGCGAATCGTGCCGGGAAACTGTCCGCACCCACGGTCTTTTAAGACTGAAAATTCCATATAAATTTTATCACATTTTAAATCAAGTTTCACTTAACTTCGAAAATTAATTCATCTTCCAATTTGATGCATTCAATAGGTTGCACCCGTGTAAAATCGTGAAATAACGATTTCACCAACATTTTCCTAAAAAGACCATTTTTTGTTGTTTCTTGGCTCTTTTTAACAAGGGTTCGGTAAAATTTTTTTTATGCCTTGATAAACTTTGCGCATTCTTGTTTTCCCTGGAATTTTCTTATTTTCATACGGTAACTTGATAAATCAGAAACTTGGTTTTCTCGTAATTCGAGAATTCGAGAAATTCTTCTCTCTCTACTTTTCTTTCGTCTCTCTCTATGCCTCTCTCTCTCTCTCTTCTCTCTCGCTCTCTCTCCTCTCTCCCTTTTTTTCCCCCGTTCGGAAAACCAGTTGCGAGATCGTGACGTTTGGAGAATCCAAAATTGTTTTTAGGTAATGAAAGTCGACATCGCTGCCCCGATCGTCGTCTATGAGGAAAATGGGAAGAGCTACAGGAAATACGAGGAAGAGCCAGCCGACCCGATTCAGGTATTTCCACATTTTTTTTGTTAAATTCACCCTAATTTTAGGCCCGCGTGAAAAGCCACTACCGTAACCAGCACCTCCACCAGACTGTCGATTTTGTCAGAGCAATGGTAAAAAAATTTTTAAATAATTTTGTTTTCTTTTAGAAAAAGAAATGGCTCACCTTCAGCCATGCCCAGATGCCGATTCTGGACTGCTTGGACTTGTTGGCCGGGTTTTTGGATGAGAGCGATCCAGATGTAAGTGTAAAACCGGTAATTCTGCCTTCTACCCATGAGAATTTTGAGCAATACCGAGTGGTCTTGATTTCGCTAAATTTTCAGTGTCATCAATTTCAATAAATTTCCCTCATTTTCAGGTAGATGAAGCTAACCTTTACCACGCGTACCAAACGGCAGAAAAACTACGCGAAAATCACCCAGATAAGCCGTGGATGCACCTGGCCGGTCTCGTCCACGACTTGGGCAAGGTCAGCGGCTTTTCTTCTTTTAGTGATGATTCAAAAAGTTCGAAATTCGGCTTATCTACCCTACCGTTTAGATCATGAGCGTGTGGGGGGAGGAGCAGTGGGCCGTGACGGGGGATACCTACCCGGTTGGATGCCGTCCGGACCCTTCTATCGTCTACGGTGCCGAGAGCTTTGCCGGAAATCCGGATCAGGAAAACGAGCAGTACACGTGAGTTAAAAAACTGTTTAAAATGGTTTTTGAGACCTTTAAAATCAATTGCTCTGGCTCTCTCTCTCTCTCTCTCGCTATCACAATTTTTCAGCACCGAACTCGGCATGTACGAGCGGGGATGTGGTTTTGAGAATCTGTTGATGTGCTGGACACACGACGAATATTTGTATCAGGTAAGGAGAGAGAGGGAGAGAGAGAGAGAGAGAGAGAGCGAGAGAAAGCGAGAGAAAGCGAAAAACATTAAATATACGATTATAGGTCCTGAAAAACCATGGCACCACGCTCCCTGAAGAAGCTCTTTATGCCATCCGATTCCACTCCTTCTACCCCGCACATTCCCATGGCGCCTACAAACAGTGGGTCACGGTGGCATACTGTAGTTTAGAAACCGAAAAATGCTTCTAACATTATACACAAAAAAATAACCAAAAATATACAAATTTTTCAGGTTCGAAAGTGAGCGCGATCGTCAACTTCACGATGCTATCATGGAGCTCAAGTAAGAAATTCACGAAACTGTCTTCAAGTTCTCAATCTCATTTCCTGTAGTTTGTAGTTGCTGCTGTTTTCCTGGCGAAATTTTCTTCCAATTTCTCAACCTGTTCCAAATTTTGTTTATCGCACCGAGAATGTCCGGGAAAAACGGGGAGAGTTTCTCGGTAAAAGGCGAGAAATTAGTACAAAAAATCCGTGTTACACCAGCGTAAAGTGTACAGTGATGTACTATCGTATCTTTTGCAGCGCCTGCGACCTGTACTCGAAGAGCGATGAGCGGCCAAACGTCCAGGAGCTCAAGTCCTACTACCAGGGCCTCATCGACAAATATATCCCCGGAACGGTGAAGTGGTGAAGAGAGACTAAAAATTTGATAAAAAAGCCGACGCTCAAATGCTTTTTGATAACTTATTCTAGCGGAAAAATACAGATTTTTAGAAAAATAAATTGTATACAAAAGTGGCATATGACAAAAATCTACATAAAATTAAGTGAGAACGTGGAAAAAACGACTGTATAGCGGGTATAGCCTGTAAATACATAGAAAATGGCGCTCAAATACTTTTTTTAACTTTTTATGTTGCAAAAATACAGCGTTTTTGAGAAAAAAAGTTGCAAGGAATAATAATTTGCATAAAACGACGTAAAAAACTTTGATATATCAAGTTTATTATCCGCTTTAAAGGGGTTCGGAACTGCCGGGATCGGCTCCTCGCCTAAAACGACTTCGCCTCGTGCCTGAGCGCACCAAATCTGGTTTGAAAATTCGAAACTGGCGAGATTGAGCCGATTTGAATTCCGATTTCTGGGGGCTTTTGAAGTGTCGCGTATCTGACGAGATCTAGGGTTTTCCAGGGGGTTGATGAGTCTCATAAAGCTGATAACTTTTATTGCGAAAATTCTATATTTCATCAATTTTCTCTCATAATCATGGCTTTCCTGGCAATGGCCTTGAACACAAAAATGTCGGCGACAAAAGACGAATGGGGCTGCAGCCCGGCCGATCAGCAAAACGACGAAATTCCGGATGTCAAAAAATACGTCGATAGCAACTTGTCTGTTTTATTGCAATAAGTTTATTTTTTTTGTAGAATATAATCAATTTCCTCCTATAACTTCGGCCTTCCGGTCACTTTCCGGGCAACGAACTTAAACACAAAGATTTCGGCAATGAAAACGAAGGGGGCCGCAGCCCAGCCGATCAGCAAAACCACGAACAGTCCGATGCAGTCCATGACGCCTAAAATAGATTGCTTGGCATTTTTAATAAAGTTTTTAAATCGAAAGGTCAGCAAATTTGAATAGTTTAAAGCCCTTTAAACGCACTGAAATTTAGCGCCGTTTTGGCATTCCTATAATCCTTTATGGAACCCTTGTAGCTTTGGAAATCGCGGATTTCGACGATCTGGCGACTTTTTGGAAGTCAATTTCCATTTATAGTAATTTTCTAGCGCTTCACTTGTTTTTTCAAATTTACGATGTATCTAGAAGACGCAAAAACGCCTAGAAAATCACCCAAAACTTTAAAATCGCCAGTATTTCCTGAGGACTCGTGGCAATCGCTCCGCCGAGACAGCTTGAAGCCCGAGTCAAAGTATTTGTTGTAGGTGCGCAGGATGAAGGATTGTTGCATGATAATTTGCCTGAATTTTATAAGAAAATACATACAATTTCTTACTTATTAAATTTGGCCAGAAATTCGGGAGCCACGCTGGAAGAGAAAATGGGCCGATTTTTGGGGAAGACCTGAAACAAGGGACAAAAAATTAAAGGTAGCAAAGAGTGCTTAAATTACCGTACGCTCATTTTAAAACCATTTAAAAATTCAATTGAAAGATCATAAAAAATGACAAAAGTCTTTTATCGTACCTTCGCTAATCGTCAGCAAATCGCATTTTTGGCTGACGTACAGTGCGGAATAGGCGTCGATTTGGTTAAACATTACGTATTTTCCTAAATTACGGTCGTGTACGTTACGATACCTTTATGATTCACAATCAACTATAATAATTTTCTTGACGCGTCCGTCTGTCTGTCCGTGTGAAGCCGAATTCAACTCGAAGGGGAAAGGAGCTAGAGCTTAGCTCTCTTCGGATTCGGATAGAGCGTGGTCAGAAACCCCCAAACTGATAAAAAAATTCTGAAAAAGTTTTAATTTAAATTATTAAAATTAACTTTGAAAGTGGCGCCTTAATAAAACGAGTGGGGGCCCCTCTCCCGGGAGGCCACGCCCCCCTTTCCCTTCGCCCCTCTTCCCCAGGCCCCTTCCCGCGCCCAGATCGTTTTTTTAAGTTACTTTAATACTTTTTAATACTTTTTAATACTTTTTAATTATGTTAATTGTTGTGTCCTTGAAGTGGGTGAAGTGCTTGATGGAATGTAGTTGAAGT